TCCAGACCACAGGGACCACACACCCTGTTCTCATGACTAGCATCCAGACCACAGAGGCCAGATACTCCATCCTTATATACAATGTTCAGACTACAGGGACCTCATCCTCATAAACACTGTCCAGTCTAAATGAACCAAACACCTTGTCCTCATAGACACTGTACAGATCACAGGGACCAGACACCCTATCCTCATAGACACTGTCCAGACCACAGGGACTTGATACCCTCATTCTCATGACCACTCTACAGAACACAGGGGCCAGATACCAGGTCCTTATGGACAATATTCAGACAACAGGGACCAGACTCTGCTTCCTCATGAACACTGTTCAGACCACAGGGATCAAACATTCTGTCCTCATAAACACTGTCTAGACAACAGGAACCAGACACTCAATTATCATAGACAATGTCCAGACCACAGCAACTAGATACCTTTTCTGCATGGCTACTGCATAGACCACAGGAAACAGACACCCCATCCTCAAAGACACTGTCCAGATCATAGGGACCAGATACCTCATTCTCATGGACACTGTCCAGACCACAGCACCAAACACCCAGGTTTATGGAATACTGTTTGGACCATAGGAACCAGATACTTTCATCCTTGTAGATACTGCCCAAATAACAGAAACCAGACATCTTCACCTCATGGACACTGTCCAGTCCACAGGGACAACACACCCTTGTCCTTATGGATATTGTCCAGACCACAGGGACCAAACATGTTTTCATTGTCACTTTCCTGGTCACAGAAACCAAACTCCTTTGTCATGAATACTGTCCAGACTACAGAGATCAGACACCCCATGTCATGGACACTGTGCAGGCCACAAGAACTGGACACCCTGTCCTATAGACACTGTCCAGTTCACAGGGATTAGATACCTCATTGTTATAAATACTGTCTAGACCACAAGAACCAGATGCCCCCTTTCTCATGAACACTGTCCAGACTACAAGGACCAGACACCTCGTTTTCATGGAAACTGTCTAGACCACAGAAACCAAGCACCCCTTCTTTATGATCACTGTCTAGAACATAGGAACCAGACACATCATCCTCATAGAAACTGTAGACCGCAGGACCAGACGCAAACATCCCCATGGACACCTCTAGACCACAGGGACCAACACTTTCATCCTCATAAACACTGTCTAGACCACAAGGACCAGACACCATGTCTTCATGGACACTGTCTCGATCACAATTACTATAGGCAATGTCTAGATGACAGAGGCCAGACACCTCGTCCTCATAGACACTATTCAAACAAGAGCCCAGACAACCCATCCTCAAAAAAAAGTGTACACAACACAGGGACCAGATGCCTTCATCTTCATGAAAGCTGTCCAGACCACAGGGAAAAGACACTCCATTCTCATGGACACTGTCTAAACCACAGGGCAAGACACTTCATCCTCATAGACATTGTCCAGACCACAGGGACCAGACACCTGCATTCTCACGGACACTATTTAGACTGCAGAGATCAGACACCACCACTTCATGGACATGTCTAGGTCACAGGGACCAAATATCTTTGTTCTCATGGATATTGTCTAGACAACGAGACCAAACACATTTTTGTTGACATTTTCCTGACCACAGAAACCAGACTCCCTTGTCCTCATGAATACTGTCCAGACCACAGAAACCAAAGACTCCATCCTCATGGACACTGTGCAGGCCACAAGGACAAGACACCCTGTCCTCATAGACACTGTCCAGTCCACAGGGATTAGATAACTCATTATTATAGATACCATCTAGACCACAGGAACTAGACACCCCCATCCTCATGGACACTTTCTCAACCACAGGGACCAGAGACCCATCCTAACAGACAATGTGTAGGCCACAGAGAAGAGTCACCTTGTCTTCATATATGTTGTTCAGGCCACAAGGAGCTGGACACCCCCTCCTCATAGTGTCCAGACCATGGAGACCACACACCTTGTCCTCATAGACACTGGCCAGACTATAAGAACTAAACATTCCATCCTCATAAACACTGTCCAGGCCACATAGACAAGTCACCTCATCCTCAGAGATATTGTCCAGACCACACAGACCAGACTCCCTGTTCTTATGGACACTGTCCAGACATCAATTACCTGACACCTTCATTGTCATGTACACTTTGCAAACCAAAGGGACCAGACATTCCCATCCTCTTGGACACTGTGTAGATCACAGGGACCAAGAAAATCAGTCCTTATGAACACTGTGTAGACCACAGGGTCCAGACACCCCCATCCATATGGACACTTTCCAGACCATAGGGACCTTACACTCCAGCCTCAAGGACACTGTGACCAGAATGGACAGGGGCCATAAATCCCATCATCATAAATTGCATCCAGACCACAAGGACTACAAACCCTATCATTCTGGATACTATTCAGATCATGAGGACCAGACATTTCTGTCCTCATAGACACAATCTAGACCACAGAAACCAAATACCTCATCCTCATGAACACTGTCTGGATCGTAGGAAATAGACATCCTGTCCTCATAGACGCTGTCAAGTATATAGGAGCCAAACATCCTGTCCTTATGGACACTGTCCAGTCCACAGGGACAAGACACCTTGTCTTCATGGACATCACCTAAACCACAGCTACCAGGTACTTTTGTCCTCATGGACACTAGAGCACACCCATCTTGATACACACTGTCCAGGTCACAGGGACCAGACATCTTTGTCCCATGGGTACTGTCCTGACCACCCCATTTTCATAAACATTGTCCAGATTACAGAAAATAGAAACCCTGTTCTCATGGACACTGTTGAGACTACAGAAACCAGACACCTTGTCCTCATAGATTCTGTCTAGACCACCTGGAACAGACCCCACATCCTCATGAAAGCTGTCCAGACCACAGAGATCAGACACACTGTTCTTTTAAACACTATCCACAACACAAGGGCTAGACATTTTGTCCTCGTATACACTATCCAGACCACAAGAACCAGACATTCCATCCTCATAAACACTGTGCAGTCCACAAGGACCAGACTCCCTATCCTCAGGAAAACTTTCTAGACTGCAGAAATCAAGCACCCTACACTTATGAACACTGTCTAGATGACAAGAACCTCATATCCCTTTTTCATAGAAACTTTATAGACCAAAGGGACCAGACAACCCATCCTCATGGACACAGTCCAGACCGCAGAGACCAGACACCCCATCCTCATAGACACTGACAAGACAACAGTGACAAGACACCTCTGTCCTCATGGACACTGTCTAGACCACAGGAACCAGACACTCTCATCCTCATGAGCATTGTGCAGACCACAGGGACAAGACACCTCATCCTCATAGACACTGTGCAGACTACTGGGAGCAGACACTCCCTCCTTCTGGACACTGTCCAAGACACAGAGACCAGATACCTCATCCTCATAGACACTGTCCAACCACAGAGACCAGACACCATATCCACATGGACAATGTCCAGACCACAGAAACCAATCTGTCCTCATGGACACTGTCTACACCACAAAGACCAAACACCTTGGTCCTCATGAACACTCTCCAGACTACAGGAACCAGACACTCCAGCCTCATGGACACTGTGTAGACCACAAGGACCAGACACCTTGTCCTCATGGAACCTTCTAGATCACAGGAACAAGGTATCCTATCCTATAGACACTGTCAAGATCACAGGGGCTAGAAACCTTGTCCTCATAGACACAGTACAGGCTACTAGGACCAGATACCCAGTCCTCATGGACACTATCTAGATCCCAGGTACCAGACATCCCCAACCTGATAGGCACTGTCCAGACCACAGGGACCAGATATCCTCACCTCATGGACACTGCCCAGATCACAGGGACCAGACACCACATTCTCATGGACGTTGTACAGATAACAGGAAACAGACACCTCATCCTCATGGACACTATCGAGATCACAAAAACCAGATACCTTTTCCTCATAGACTCTGTCCAGATCGCAGGGAACAGACACTGTGCCCTCATGAGAACTCTCCAGACCACAGAGATCAGACATACCGTTCTTATAGACACTATCCACAACACGAGGACTAGAAATTTTGTCCTCATTAACACTGTCAAGACCACAAGGACCTGACTCCCTGTCCTCATGAAAATTTTCTAGACCACAGAAACCAGATGCCCTATCCTTATGAACACTGTGTAGACCACAGGAACCATACAGCCTGAGGTGAAGGGCACATGTGTAAAGATATCCATTGCCTCATGATCATGAGCTGTGACAAGTCCTAATTATCTTAAATTCCTAACACTGGGGAAGTATAAATATGCTGCATTATATTCACTGAGTGGAAAGTTTTGTCAGTCACCGTAAATGCTAGTCATGGAGGACATGTACCAACCTGGAAGAGTGTTTACGGTGTAACTATAGAGAAAAGAACGATACTCAAGTATGCATCCTGTGACTAACATTGGATTAGAACATGACTAGATGAGAATGAAGACAGGGTGTATTTATTGGCAGGGTTTTCTTTTTTATATATATTATTTTTTAGAGTCAGGGTCTCACTCTCTTGCCCAAGTTGGAGTACAGTTGTAAGATCACAGCTCACTGCAGCCTCAAACTCCTGGGCTTAAGTGATCCTCCCACATCAGTTTCCTGAGTACCTGAGACTACAGTTATGCACCACCACACCTGGCTAATTTATTTTATTTTTTTGTAGATATGGGGGTCTCATTATGTTGCCCAGGCTAGTCTAGATCTCCTGGCCTCAAGCAGTCTTCCCACCTTGAATTCCCAAAATGCTAGGACTATAGGCATGAGCCATGACGTCCAGCCAAGATTTTCTTTTTAAACTTCTCAAAAGCTTGTTTTACATATATGTATACTTAAATAATTTTTTCTTATTATAAACATATGTTCATTGTTGAAAAACCTAGAAAATAATGGAAAGAAAATAATTCTTTTGCCCAGAAATAACAACTGTTCATATTTGATATCATATTATCAGTAACAATGTCCATGCAACTTGCGGTGTCCAAGGGTGAGTATTTATGTCTTGCTCTTGCAACTGTGGTTGGGGAGCATTCAGCTGAATCGGAGGACTACAGTTTGGCTCTGTGTGTGTCTCTCATTCTCCTGGGTCCCCTGGTCATTGGGGCATGATCCTTCCAGATCAGGAGTTGGAAACTCCCAAGGAAGCCAGCAGATTGGGTTAGTCTTCTGAAAGTATAGGCTTGGAACTGGCCATGCACACTGCTGCCCTCTCATGGACACTGTCCTCATGAACATGGTCCAGACCGCAGGAACCAGATACTCCATCCTCCTAAATTGTGTCCAGACCACAAGGACCACACATCCTGTCCTTTTGGATACTAGCCAGACCACAGGGACCTCTCCCCATTGCCCAAAGCAAGATCAGTGTGGTGAGAGAGTGTCCTCCCCCCAGAGTAGGATGGGAGGACTGTGGACATGAGCTGATCTGTAACCAAACTGTCCAGATATTTATCCTTCACACCTTTCCTAGTCTTTTTTTATGACACTCTCTTTCCCAATCAGAACCATTCTATTATTTTGTCACTAATGACTATATCTTTCTCTTTTCTTTTTCT